AGCTACAAAACATACGCGGGAAATCAGTCGGTTGTAAGCACAGACACGCACAACCACACTCCATGCATACGGACCCAAAACAGGAGGAAGCATCCCGAAAGATAATCGGTCACCACTCTGTCTCTCTGATCTAAGATTTGATCTACTGTTCCACTACATGAGACGTCTTACATTGGATTTTAGTCGGGAACACACATACAGTTCATAATTTACGTGAACGATCGATTTTACCTGTCCATGTTCTTTGGTTCACGACCTGATTTATTCATCAACAAACGTATCACCATTGTGTTTAATGTGTAAAGTGATCACGTTGTATTATAAGTGTGTGTTATGGTCGATAAATCAAGCAGTCCTGTCGACTGTGTTTGCGTTTATGTTGGCGCGTGTGCGTATGCGTATGGGCAGGCCAAATCCATTTCGCTCTGGGGGGTTTGTAGTTGCAAATGCCATTTCTTTCTCACATGCCTGGTTATGAACGAAGTATTCAGTATGTTTTAGTGTTCACTTGAAAAGTAATAGGTCAAAAGAAAGAGAGATAAAAACTTCACCATACTTTTGTCCCTGTAATAACAAAGATGATAATATTGTTTTTATTTCCTTCATCTGTTTATTGCATACACAAATATAGGACCAATTTTCGGGTACGGGGATGTTAACACCCTGACAACAACAACAACGACAACAACTTCGAGTTGTGAAGATGTCCTTACCTGGAATGATTCAGTTACCAGGGCGGGGGGATGCAGCTACGTGAACGGAAGTCTATACATATATATCTGTATAAATGTAAAATGTAAATGTCTTTTTACTTCCCTTTTCCATTTATTGAATATACAAATGTACAGTCAATTTTCAGAAAGGGGCTGCCTGGGGAAAATACATATATAGGAAAGACAGGTGGTGGTAGAGGTGTTTGAACCCGGGACACCCAAGTCATTAGGTGGTGACCTAACCACTTGACAGTCACATTTGTGTGTAAAGGTAATAAAGACGGGTTTAATGTAAAGTTTTAGGCCTAAAAAAGGGTAAACATCGTCATTATGAGCCGGGCGATAGCAAACCTGCTTATCATTCAACCCGATGATGAGCGCACTCCAGACCTAGCAAGCAGAATAGAGGTGTCCGCGGACGAGCTGAACATCAAGCTAATTCGCCTGAGTTCGTTTATCCAGCTTAAACTCCAATATGCCACAAATATTTTGTGTATGTTTTATCCGATTAATCCGTTCCTCACTTCTGTGGAAAAGATTTATACAATGATGATAGAACATTGGACAGACGTTAGAACGAGTTTTCGCCAACGTCGTGGGTAAATTAATAATAGGACTGATCACCAGGTGTGTGAAAACAAAGGTGTTTGCATTTCTCCCTTGTTGTTTTCACAGTCAGTTCTCGCATGGAACCGCCAGTTGGGATGTGAATGAGCTATCGCAGTTTGGTCACTTTCTTCACTGACTCATTCTCACTCGGTTGAATCAAACCTTGCACGTACAACCTAATCGATTGTTTGGAGTATTTATTGTGATCTGTTGCAAAATATGCAACTGCGAAAGGGAATACCTATCCAGTTATAGAGTCCCTTGGTATATTTAATGACACTTACGTGTGAGGTCACTGAGCCCTCTGAAACCTGACCAGGCGATTGGACGTTGGCAGTATTTGTGACTTAGTTGGTCTAAGTCACAAGCCTCTAATGCATGTGGAGATTCATAGTGACATTCATAGGAATTCAATGCGGTTTGAAGGAATGATTTACGTCAGTTTCACCCTATCGATTTTGTTCGAGTTATTTTGTTCTAATTATAAACCATGTATTTGGTTTAAGACTTACGAATCGGTTACTAGCACTCGGTAGTGGTATATTCTTTGATTG